CGGTAAGGTAAGGGCTAAGATTGGGATTACACCTAATGTTTGGGCAAGGGTTAGGACACCAGGATGGGTAAGCCTCCTGGACTTTGATGCAAAACCATCTGTGTTATGCGGGGGGAGGTTTCAACTTCCGTTTGCTGATGAGGGCGCATCTAAGGGATCCTCGCCGTAGAAAATGGGGTAGCATTAGTTGTGGTAGCAGCAGCAATAGCAGTAGTAGACTTCGCGATCTGTTTGTTATTCAGTTAGTTTCTCGCCTTCCGCCTCTTCCTCTTCTGCCGAAATCAGGGCAAATCTTAGGCGTCGCGCTTTCCTACAAAGTGTACTGCCACATATTGACGCTAATTTAGTCGCACTACATTGGAATTCTGTGTTTACCCCCAACAAGTTCAACCTTTCCTCGAACAATATTTTGTTATCACTAAGCGTCTTCTCTTCAGTGTCCGTGGCTGCAGTAGAGAAACATTTTCAAAAAAGGCATCTGAATACAGTTCTCCTGACTGGATTATTTCTTGGCATGCAGGTTGCTTTGCGCTCCGTACACAGTTTATCCAGTCTGACGATCGGAAATCTAATTTTCTTCCTAATAGCTGTGGAGTGTGTCAGGGTTCTATTTTATTCACACATATCTTTTCGCTACACTCTGGTGACCTGAAATTGCCTAATGAGGCCTATATGTCAATTATACCGGCAACATTGCTTTTGGCCATCCCATTAGAAATGACACTCACCTCCGGGTTCAGAAAGGGGGTTTGAGCCATATCTGTGTATGGTATTTGCAAAGTAATCTTTTATTAATTAATTATAAACCAGCGCAGTGCATGTTCCGACTATGACCATTTTCCATTCCTGAATTCTTTTATGTTCCTCATCACGAAGTGCCATCTCTCCGGTATCTGGGTGTTACTCTGTCCTCAAGTCTCTCATTTCTCCCTTAATGTTAAAATTCTTTGATTAATTTCGTAAACTTGTTTATTTAGTTCAACGCTTAGGTCCCTACCACACGCCTCCACACTCAATCTGGTGATCTGTAGATGCCTGTGTTCTTCCTGTCATTCTCTATTGCTTTACGACCTTTTCTCGCTGCCTTGCCTGAAAAAGCTGTGCCCACTTTAAAACATGGTCTCCGAGTGCTCTCTTCTGCTGCTGGCGTTTCCCATGTTTCTGTTGACGATATCAAAGCAGATTTCCCCACGGTCAAGCAGTCCGCGGATCGAATTCTGAATGATGTTGTCCAGCCTCTTTACTCCGAGTTAATTGCTGCGAATTCTTTCCGCCCCATGGGCCATGACTCACAGCATATCTGTTGCCGTACCTCAACATATTAACGTTCTGCACTGTCATTTCAGACACGAAGTCTTACGTGCAGAGACTGAAATTCAGAAACCAAGATTCAAACTGTCCTGATAATAGTTCTACATTTTTACGCAAGACTATTTATTCTTCTGTCAATTATTTGTTTTCTGGCCACGGCGAATGAAGACGCTCTTACTGATAATTTTTGAATGATACTCTCTAAATAAAGCGTGTGCAGTAAAACTCTACCTATTCACGGTCCAGTGGCCGCGGATACAACAACCTGTGAATGTTTTCATGAAACATATCTAAAATATTCGTTAATTATTTTCATTCTTTTTTCGTGACTAAATGCATCTTTTTGTAACGAAAGTGATTTACTACTCTTCGAATATTAGAGCGCACATAGCAAAGTATCAACATAATTCATTTCTCCTAAAAGACGCTCGTCTATCATCATCATCATCATCATCATCATCATCATCATCATCATCATCATCATCATCATCATCATCATCATCATCATCATCATCATCATCATCATCATCATCATCATCATCATCATCATCATCATCATCATCATCATCATCATCATCATCATCATCATCATCACCGTCGTCGTCGTCGTCGTCGTCATCATCATCATCATCATCATCATCATCATCATCATCATCATCATCATCATCATCATCATCATCATCATCATCATCCTCATCCTCATCAACAATCAACTTTTATCACTGGCGGATATCTGCATGATTTGCGAAATCGTTAACCTTCCATTACTTAGTATATTATTTCAATGCATATTTAAATACTTAGATACAATACTTAACTGATCCCTGCACTTGCGAATCTACCATTCCCAATCGCATCTACTGTATATGTTAAAAGAAAACGGTAATGCTTGAATACTGTATGAAAGAAAATGTGCGTGCCTGAATACAGGTATATGTAACGGTTGTAGGATGGCTCACACGTAGCCGTAAGCCATATGTTTTTATGAGTAACGTTGAACTATAAATTCGCAATTATAAGAGTTTTTAGAGGGCTCTCAAGTATTCGCGTATTCCAGCTACTCTCAAGCAGCTGTGGTTCCTAACTCCAACGACTACCGGAGGCCGACTTTATATATATATATATATATATATATATATTGAAACGTAGGCATCCCAAGAAATATAAGTTGAAGTTAAAGGCGTTCTTTGGGAAAAATGAACTTTATTGCGTAAATTTTCGACGCCGGTTCCCCAGGTCGTCGTCAGACGCAGACTGAGAGTAAATGTGCCGACAACAGTTAACATCTGGCAGCGCACGTGGAAAAAAAATCGATAATCGTTCGCGTTTGTGCCCGTGAGCGGCCAAAACCGTGAATGAATCTGCGAGAAGTGCCCTTAAGTATCTTCCTTTGTTAAGTTGTGATTCCATCCTTCTGAACATTTCCCTCAGGGTTTCGCCGATATGAAAATTGAATCTCAGCATGTTAGAGCGTCCTCATTTTAGAA